ATAAATTGCTCCTTTTATTCTGGATAGGTCACACTGTTTTTCCTTACTTTTCAGGAATTTTCTCGACTCAGTTAAGTTCTCCGAATAAAAGTCTTTATGTTTTAAAGTACCATCCTTAGGCAGGCTTTGAGCTGAAATTTTTGGATGATTAGATGCACAAGCTGAATGAATACTTGAATTAACTTCCATTCTACACTGTAGGGTGCTGTCACCCCCATTATCTGAAGTTTCATACTGTATTGTGTTGATCCTCTCAAAGTTTCTTTCTAGTTCATTTTGTTCAAAATGAGCAGTTTCAATATGAAAACACATTTCATCATAATTCACACCTGACAACTTGCAAAATGGACACATAACTTCATTTTCCATGTGAACAATTAGGAGGTGAGCTTTCATATCTGATTCTGAGGTTACTGTTTCACCACAAATGTCACAAGAAAGCATGGTACATCAGGTAGCTAGAAAGGAACACAGTATTATTTTAAGTTAGAAAGAGTTGGAGAAAAAGAAAATGCATTTTATAAAATGATCCGGAACAATTAAATGTATTTAAAACTGGATTATTTAGACAAAGAAATTTTCAATGTACCTACTGTTCCTCAAATATACAAACTTATTTGTAAATCTCAACCAAAATTTCACCACTGTTTTTCAAGTTGATAGTTTCAATAAAACAAAGGTAATAATACAAATAAAAATAGTTTTTCAAATACTGGGGGTGCCAAAAAAATGTATACACATGACTTGTATTCATCTTTTGTTATCAGTGTATATTGAGTATTACAATTTTAATACAGTTTTTTCTTTTCTTAAAATGTGTACATATTTTTTTCTGACACCCTCTGTATTTCAAAAAGTGTGTCTGGTCTGAGGTAGAAAAAAAGTAACACTTATAAAATTGCCCAAGTAAGAAAAATCAGGTAATAGAAAACAAAGAGAAGTTTTATCAACTGATGTAGCTAAATACAAAACCTTAAAGTTAATGATGCGGAGGGTAAATAAACACATCTTAACAATAGCAGTTAACAGTTAAGAGATTTACACAAGCTAATTTAAGTACCATTATGATTCTATATGGATTAAACCTTGGCTCAGATGTCACAACAGGCAGAAAGAAAGAAAACGCTAACCCAGTCAGGCTCCAAGCTGTACTCTCAACCCAAAGACTAGAAGCAGAATGAGCACAGTAACTGATTCCAGAGTTAAGATAACTGGATTATAACTCAGGTTTCAGAATTTTAGGTAAAACACATCACCTCTTTGAGGTTTGGTCTATAGATTGAGTTGTACTGAATTGGCAGTCACTTTTGAGTTTTATGGACTTAAAAGTACTGGCTACCGAAAAAAGGTGATTTTGCTAAGAAATATATTTTTAAAAAGCAATCACCACCACAACCTTCCTACAAAAGACCATCGTTCAGCTAAGGACTCTAAAAACAAACAGGAAAAAAAAAAGATAAGGAAACTATACCCATCATTTCAATAAATTTAGCATTTATAAGAACTCCCTACACTGTTATTTTTCTCATTTCCCTTTAGAGAAGTGAAAATAGGCTGGTTTTAGAAGAAAATTTCCCCACACCGTCAGTGTAAAGAACGTCAAGCCCAGAGATTCTTCTCTTCGCGTGGCTGGGCCACAGTTAGACACAGAAGACGGTTCAACTCCCACTTTGGGTGAGAGATGTAAGGAGGCGGGGACAGGTGCTGGGGGGTAGGTAAGTAGTGAGAGAGGCGGTACGCGCCAGAATGCAGCAAGGCCGAGTCTGCCCAGAGGGCCGCTCCAACGTCCCGACCCAGGGCACGAAACAAGCTCTGACACTAACTGGGTCAGAGCTTGGGGCCTGGGAAATGAGGACTGGGATCGTCAGTTTCTACCCGCCCAGAGCTGCCACCATCTGGCTCACCGAAAAGGAGTACGTGCACGGCGTGGATTACCTTTCCCGGACTGAAAGACAAAGGCAGGCCCTCTTTTCATCCAGAGATTCAGTTTATGGGGAAAAGAACCAGCAACTTCAAAACGCCTCCAGTATCACATTCAAAAAAGCTTTTCCTCTGTTGCCCGGAAGGGAAGGGCTCCCAGCATGCACCGTTCCACGCCGGTCTGGGTTGTAGTGCATTCTGGAAGTCGTAGTCATTTTTCCATCCTCCCACTAGGGTTCCGACTCCTAATTTACTTCTAGGGGAGACTCTAGGCTCCGAGGTCTTTCTGAATGAATTTTACTAGGGCGGGTCCTAGGGCATTCATTACACGAGTACACGGTATCCACTGTACAGGACCTGAGTAGCTCTCTATTCTATTACCAATAAAGGGTTTATAGTGCAAGTGTCACACTCCAAACTATGCTCCGCAGATGGAGGACGAATAAGACAGATCCTTGCCTCAAGGTTACAAGATCATATGTACCTTACTTTTATGGTTCAGTCCTTATTTCATTCAACAATATTTAATGAGTGTCTATTTAAAAAGCATTCTGCTTGGAATTGGAGCTGCAGCAGTAAACACACAAACTCCAGGCAATTTGAAGCTTACATTCTGGCAGAGAAAAAATAAAGAAATAAACTGATCATGATAAGTACTATGAAGGAAATAAAGCTGGGTCATGTATAGAAAGGACAAATGTAGTTAGCCAACGTCTCTCTGAGGAAACAATGAACAAACTTGACACCAACAGGAGGAAGAGCATTCCAGGCAGAGAAAATAATAACGAAGGCCCTTAAATTGGAACAAAAAGAACATTTTGTGATCTGAGCACAAGATTCTAGAAGTGGTTAAAATGTGAGGTCAGAGTTGTAGACAGGGCCTTGTAGAAAACTATTGGAGTTTTTAAATAGGAGAGTGGCATGAACTCATGATGTTCAGTATATATTTTAAAAATCATTTTTGGGCTGAATGATTAAGCATGAAAAATTGAACACGTGCATTTATATTCCCTACTTCTCAAAATCTAAAATGACAGTAGAAGAAAACTAATAATAAAAGTTAATACTAATGAGATTTTTTTTTAATTTGAAAGCTAGAAAAAGGATGGAGGAGTAGTAACCAATTTAGCTAAGAAGTCAACCAAAAACAAGTCAATTCATATGCCATAACTCTGGAGATGTTCAGAAACTAAAGACTAGATACCTCTGAAAAGGATATTAAATTTGAGTCTGAAAAGAGGAATATTTTGCTGAAATTCTGAATAAGGGGCAGACTTCCTCCATCATCAGGTTGCCAAGTGACTCATCTTCACCACAAGACAGAACACTACATGTTTAATTTATGAAGAAAATGAACCAAAGAGGCTATGAAATTAGAAATGCACAGCTAAGGGTGGTAGTCAAGGTGCTGGTCGGAAAAAAAGCTCAATTCTGAATTATGATGCCCTTAGCCATTTCCCCTCATCACATTCTGATTTCTGATTTGTGCCTCCAAATGAGAATTCTTCTCCAGAGGAAACCATTGGTCCAAGAAAAAAGAACTAAGATAATGACTTTTAGAAAAGCCTCCAGTGATATAGGATCCTAGTCTATCACTCTGTAGAGAGGCCAGCAATCAGTGAATAAACAAGCCCCGCTGATACACAAGCTTAAAATAGGTTTCTTTAGTGTCTCACTCTTAAATATGAATGGATTCTCAAGAATCACCAGGCATTGGAGTGCAGTGTGTGGCAGGAAAGAAGAAAACCAAAGTGATCAAAAAGGAAAAAAATAAACTCTGAAGAAACAGAGATAATGAATGAAAGAGAAAAAGAATACTTCAAGGAAACTGCAATCAATATCGTCAGAGAGACAAGAAAAGATATTTAATCCCTGAATCAAAAATAGGAAATAGCTCTTGGGATTAAAAGATACTATATATATGTATATATATATATATATATATATATATATATATATATATATATATATATATATATATATATATATATATAGAGAGAGAGAGAGAGAGAAAGAGAGAGACAGAGACAGAGAAAGAGAGAGAGAGAGACCCCCAAGAATTCTCAGAAAATAAGAACAAGAGATGGAAAACAGGAGCTTTTTTGGGGTAAGAATCATGTGTAATTTATCTTGTATATTCTGTCCCTAGCATTGCATTTGGAAAACAGTCTGTTTTCAATACTGTTTGTTGAACTCCAGGGTGGATTACAAGGCTATAGGTATGTTATAATAATTTAATTATCTACTTCATATATCAGTGAGTGACTACTTTTTTGACAAAAATCTACAGATGTTATAGAATACAAAATTTTAAGTAAATGACAAATTGAAAAGCTCTATACAAAGGAGAGCATATAGGAAGAAGTTAATGAAGCTGTAGAGTGAAAGAGCCTCTGGAAAGTTCCATGAGGTTGGGGTTTTTTATCTGTTGTGTACACTGCTGTAGCTCCAATGTCTAAAACAATGCCTGGCACAGATTCGGCCCTCCATCAGTAACTACGTTGCTGGATGGATGGCTGGATGGATGGCTGGCTGGCTGGCTGGATGGATGGACGGACGGACGGGTGGATGGATGGACGGACTGATGAACGAATGAATGATCGAACAAATGAATGATCGACTGAGCACTCGCACTTAGGACTAGGGCAGTAGAACACACTCCTGCCACAGGGACTGCGCCTGTAAGTCTGTGCAGACGCCGGCTCCTCCTTTGGTGGGTGCGGCTGGGGCGCGCCTTATCCCCGCCCTGCTGCGGGTCTGTGCAGCGTCCTGCGGCCGCTGCGGTCGTCTCATGCAAGGGCTTCTGGGAGCCGAACCTCGGGGTCTCGGGGAAGGGGCGCAGGTGGCCGCCATTTTGAGTTGCGAACCTGGTTGCTACGCTAAACGCTAGGGGCGGAGTGGCCACCACGCTGTTACCCGGAGCAGAGCAAACGCCGCAGCTGGGGACTAGCAAGCAGTCAGGGTACCGGATTGTGCCACTTTAATGGGTAAGTGGGAGTGACGCAAGCCAGGTTGGGTGATCATCGGGTTTGGTCCCTTTGGGAGCCACACGTTCCTGGGCCACTGTTTTTACTTACCCCTTTCCTTGCGTAGGGTTCAGGACCAGGCCATGCCGGGGGTTTTCTCAGGTTCCCCTAAGGGAGACAGCGAGGGCCGGGGCGTGGCAGTCGGACCTTTCCCTTGCCGACGCGAAGGCGTGGGGAGTACAGATCCTCCTAGACAGCCAGGCTGGTCCTCGGAAGGAGTTCGAGGCAGCCAATCTCATCCACTGGCGCTTTGCTTCGCCTTTTCTCAGTTTCTCTTGTCGGTATGTGGTGTTGTCAAACCTTGACGTTCATTCCTGGGACTCAGCGTCTGTGTCCGGCAGCTTATTAGAAGTACCATAGTGTGAAGAATAAGGCAGGTTCGGTGCCGGGGCCTACACGTCGCACCCTCTACCTTGGCCAGCGGCCTCCTCCACTTGGATGCAGGTGCCTGGAAGGGCTCAGTCCCGACGCCGGCAAGCGTGGGTCAGATGCCTCTCTCTGCCTGTCAACTCCTGTCTAATGCCTAATGTACAGGTGATAAATATTTTTAAGAGGATTATTGCTATGAACATTTCATTTTTACTAAAATATTTTATACTGATTGAGCATAACTCAACAACTAATGGTGAAACGCAGTTTGATCTGTAATGAACTCTGATCTCTATTTTTCTCCTCCAAGAGATTAAGCTCTTATTAATGAGACAGAATTTTTATATATGAAATAATTAGAGAACAGCTAAACATTGTTATTTTTAATACAATTTGAGCTGTTTCTAATGATAAATATTTGTAGGTGCACACAGTATTGCTGAATCAATTCATTAAGTATTTTAAAGGAGGATTTTGGTGGATTATAAACGTACTTTAATTGCTACGATACACGTGTTAAGTTCAAAGGCACAAGGTACCTTTTAAATCATTCTTAAGTCCTCATTCCATTCTGTTCTACCTTTAGCTCCACCACTAATGAAATTTCTCTCACTATCTTTACCAGTGACCTAATTATCAAATCTGATGTCTCTTATGGTACTTGGCTTATTGTAGACATGTATATTTGTTGGATGGATCAATGAATGCATAAATTGAGTGGCCTGTTTTTAGTGCTACTGTAAGTGAAATATTTCTTTATCTTTTGAATTCCCTTCTTTTTCATGACTCTTATTTTCTTCTGATTCTTCTGTTTCTCTGACCTTTTTCTTTTTGGTTTCCTTTGCTTTTTCCTTTTGTACTCAAATGTGAACATCCTCAAGATTTCTCCTTTGGTCATCTTTCTTTTATAGCCCTACATGATCTTGGATGATCAATCAGAACTCTTCTGAGTTTTGACCCATATTTTCAACCATCTATAGATAGATCTTAAACTCCTATACATGCCCAAAGTACTATAAATTTAACATGTTTAAAATGAACACCACTATACACCTATTAGAATGGCTACAATTAAAAACAGAATCCTGACAATGCCAAGTGCAGGAAGGCTATTGGACATCAAGACCATTATACATTGACAAGAATGCAAAATGGTAGTTACTTTCCAGTTTGGCAGTTTGTTATGAAATCTGAAGCATACACTTGCCATGTTATATATCAATCCTTACTCTTAGATATTTACCCAAGAAAAATAAAAACTTGTATTTACACAAAAACCTGTACATGAATATTTATAACATATTTATTCGTAACTGCTCTGAACTAGAAACAACCTAAATGTCCTTCAACTAATGAATGGATACACTGTGGAATATCTATACAATAGAATACTATTCAACAATAAGCAGGAATAAACTATTGGTGCATGCCAACAACCTGAACAACTCACAAATAGACTATGCAAAATGAAAGAAGCCAGTTTAAGACCACACTGCTATTCCATTTCTGTGAAATTCCGGAAAAGGCAGAACTGTGGAGAACAAATTAGTGATTGCCAGGTGTTAAAGGTTGGAGGAGGGCTAATAAGAGCAACCTGAGGAAGTGTTTTGGGGGTGATAGAGCTGTTCTGTGTCTTGATTGTGATGTTTATATGCCCATGCATTTGTCAGATAAAAGGACCGTATACTAAAATGGCGATTTCTTTACTGCGTGTAAATTAAGAAAATAAAACAAATGTATTCATTATTTTTGTCTCAAAAATAAGTAGGCAAACAAACCAAACTATCACTCTGATCCTCCATCTACAATGTATTCCCTGCCTTGGGTTATTTTGTTATCATACTATAACTCAAGCTAAAAACCATGTAGTTATCAACTCCCTTGTCTTCTTCACCACATAGTCCTTACATTCATTTGGCCTGTCATTGAATCCATTTCTGAAATGTTCCTGGCATCAACCTGTCTTCTATAGTTCCAATGCAACTACTAATTTAGTTCAATTCTTCATCATCAAGGTTTGAAACGACCTTCTCTTTAATTTCTTTAGCTGTATTCCTTAGATTGAGTCATGATTTCTCATCCAGATGGCAGGAACCATATGTGTTCTTACCTAGCTTTCTGGCATTATCTCCTCCTCCTCCTCCTCCCATGTGTCCTCATGTTCAGGCACACTCAGTTTCTTACTGTTTTGTGTTTATGCCAGGCTTCTGCAAGAACTCTGCCTTCACGTATATTCCCTCGGCTTGAGATGCTTGTTCCTTCCTTTTTCCCTTTTCATCCTCTTCCCTAGGAGATTCTTGCTCATCCTTTAAGATAGGATAAACTGTAAGGACTTAAAAAACTCCCTGAGGCGCAGTTTGTTGCTTTGTCTTCTGTGCTTTTATAGGATCAAATGCATATGTTTTAGTGTACTTTACTACTTGCAATATAATTTGCCAGTCATTAGTCTATCTCTTCTACATCAGGGATGGCAGGGAAATGCCAACCTCCTCTCTTCCTAAGTGCTAATTAATCACTACATCCTTTCTGGTTGGACATGGATATGTTCTCAGAATTTATTAGAATAACATTCTAGGTAGCCATTAATTATCATGTTAAATTCAAGTGGAAACCCTGCATTAGAATCATTTTTTTAATGCTTAAATCCAAGATGTTATGATATCAGTAATTTAGTATTCATTTCAGATATCAAAAAAATCAATATAATACTATTGTTAAAAAGTGTTTATAATTCATTTTCTAAAAGTAAATCTATTACATATATTTCAAATGTAAAATTTCACATTTGTATAAAATAAATATTTTTAAAATGCTTTAAAATGTTTTTTATAAATATTAATGTTTTAAAATACATTTGTAATAAAACTATTTAAAATAAAGTATACAAGTATTTCAGTATTTAAAAAGAACTAATTTTTTGCTCTAGTAATGAAAACTGGTAATGCAGTCATGATTCAAGTCATGACCTGTGTAGCCTAGTTCTTAAGCAATGCCTTAAGTAAATGAAAGAAGCCAGACCCCAATAAATATTTGAGGCATGTTTATTGAAGCCTAATACCATATCCCATTGAAAATAAGACACTTTATTGCTGGCTATTTCTTGATCTTGCCGGAAGCTGTAATTTAGAAGTGTTTTACCAACTATTTCATGATTACTTCCTGGCTGACAGTGATTTTAAGATGCATCCCACTTCAGAAAGATTAAAATACCAAGGACGGGGCATGCATCTTAGAATCAGTGAAATTAGGGTAATGACTTTGTCTGTGTTTAGACCAAACTCTATTATTTGTTTGGTAGTTTCATCCTAAAATATTAGGTCATTTTGCTCCAATTTGATATGGAAGGGAGGGATTGTGTTCTTTGTACGTGATTTTCAGAATGGGTTTGGTTGGTCTGTTTAATCAGTGAGCATGAATTTAGTTACCCTAGGGTAAACATTTCATGTTATTTTGAGAGTGATCAGTACCCATTTTTTTTTCTCTCCTAATCTTAAGATGCCATGGCTAGTCCAGGGAAAGATAACTATAGAATGAAAAGTTATAAGAATAAAGCCCTGAATCCCCAAGAGATGCGTAGACGAAGAGAAGAAGAAGGAATACAACTTCGAAAACAAAAAAGAGAAGAACAGGTAGGTGTTTTAAAATAATGAATTGTATTTAACAAAAACATTATTATATGTAGATTTTAGAAGTTGTATTATTATTGCTAATTTTTAAATCATTTTAAATGAAAAAGTATTTTAGGAAGTTGAATATAGATAAATCTATTCTTTAATTTATTGGACTTCGGGTATAAAATTAGCAAATTCATGAATCAGAATCTTGTGCTGTTATTTTTAAAGATTTTTATTGGGGAATTGGGGGGATGGGAACAGCGCTGGGGAATTGGGGGAAGGGGAACAGACAAGTTGCTGTCCTTTTGTTCTTCAGTCTAATTGTGGAGGACGTTGCTTCACTGGCCCAAGTTGCCACCATCATTGCGCTCTTCCCGGCGACTCATGGCAGCCCAGCTCCAGGTTGAGCTGTTGTTCAGCATCTTAGCTGTAGAGGGCAGTGTCACTGGCCCTCATATGTGGGATCTGAACCGGGGCCCTCTGGCATCCCAAGCCAGTTCTTAACCATCGCGCCATTTGGCCGGCACTCTTGTGCTGTTTTTAATCACTGACAGGAATGACTTTTCAGTTTTATTGATAAATATTTTATGTTAATCATATTTCTACCCCAGTGCTGAGAAATTTTTACTCTTGAGCCTATTTAGATCACTTTCATTTGTCATTTTAAAATTTGCCTCCTAAAAAAATATTATTTCATTTGTTGCTTTGTGGTTTTTGTAGCCCTTGTTCCTAAGTTAAGTCTTCTTCCTATGCTACTCATACTGTTCCTCCTACAGTCGCTTCAGCCAGTTCGCTTAGCCTTCTCTATTTGAACTTTGCCTGTGTGACATAAGGAATAGAAAAATTATTTAAAGGACTACATCTCAACATTTTTCATTCCAAGATATACTTCAATTTAGAAGTATTCAAAAATAATAAGGAGGGTATCGGCCCTGTATACATGAGTGAAACTAATGTGTGAAAAGGACTAGCAATGAAGAAAGCAGAGAATAAGGTCTATTGTAGAAACATGATTATGATTATACTACAGACAGGGAGATTATGTCATCTCCCTATCTGTAGTGTATCTAGCATAGTACCTACTATATTACAGTAGGTACTCCAAGAAAATAATCTGTTAAATGAATGATTAGATAGAAACTGTATAGATTGAAGAAGAGCAGTATTTATTTACCTATAAAAAATATAATAGCTTTTTTACCCTGAATTTTGATTTAGGAGATGTACCTTTAACTCGCTCTCAGTGACCTCACCATGTCTCTTTCCTCCTCTCTTTTTTCTTTATTTTTATCCACTCCTGAATTAATAAGCATAGGGCCATTTATCCTGAGAGTTCTCTATTCCTTGTTAATTTGGTATACTAATTTTGTTAATATATTACATTATCTCTCCCGTGTAACAGATTTACTTTTCAATTAAGATTTTCTTGGAAAAATTCTTAGGTATCTCATAATCCAGTGTGGGCATATGTCTTTTTTTCAAATGCTATAAAATGTAAATGTGTTCTGTCCTCATGGGACTGGCCTTTGATAAAAGAACTGAGATTAAGAATGACCCAAAGCAGTCTACAGGACAAGAGCTAATCTAGCCCAGAAAGTCTAACTTCTCATAGATAATTTAAGTCTTCATGGTATAATGATTCTGAAAAACTAAAATATTCAGAATTTTAAATGATAAAATTATTAGTTTGTTTTGTTCACTTAAAAGAAAATTTAAGTGGTAAGTAGTGAAAAAGAAAAAATTGAGGAAATGGTTGGAAAGAAAAATATGATTTCATGGGGATTTAGCGTTTTGTGGAAAGCTCAGTATATAAAGTGACTTCTCTTCATTACAGCTGTTCAAACGTAGAAATGTCTCTTTGCCCAGAAATGATGAATCCATGCTAGAAAGTCCTATCCAGGATCCGGATATCAGTTCCACTGTACCCATCCCAGAGGTAGATATTACAAAAATCGATTTCAAATATACCTCAACAATATTTCAGAAATAGTGTTTGCAGCAAATACTATTAATGCAAAATATTTAAGTGATAAATTATATTTTCTGTGTTTTAGGAAGAAGTTATTACCACGGATATGGTTCAGATGATTTTTTCTAATAATGCTGATCAGCAACTAACAGCAACACAGAAATTTAGAAAGCTACTTTCGAAAGGCAAGAATTATTTATGCTCATTCGATATTATATTGGGTTGTGGGAATAGTCATGACGTGTTTTTTCTGTTTTTCATTGCAAAAATGTGTCATGACTTTTCCGACAACCCAATAGGATTCTGCAGTAGTGTTTTATTTATGAGCTATTTTTTATTTTAAGGCACTTTTCTTTGCCAGGAGGTCTTCATTTTTAAAAAAAATATATTTTTAGATAACATCTATTTTTTAACATTATATTATCAAAGTAACACATGTTGATGTAGAATATTTGCAAATATAAAAGAATTTAAAGAAGAAAATATAAAAAATTATATTCCCACTGCCAAGAAACAAAGTTACAGAAACATGTTTTTAAATTCCTATAGAAATATTTTTCAAACATAATTTTTTTAAATGGCTGCATAACATCATAGTATGATCAATCAATCAGACCTTTAGTTTTTTCCCAATTTTTTATTTAGTGTGACAAATTTATTAGTATTTTAGTAAAGACATTCATCTCAGTTGTTTCTTTCTCCCATCTTGACCTTAGGTTAATACTTCATTTGAGTAAAGAGAAGAATATTTAGGTGAGGGATGTTATTTTGACATAACAGTAAAATGTACAAAAATGAAAATTTTGCCTACATTAAAGCAAATTAAATTCATGTATCATGATATAATTAAATCATGTAAGTAAGAACTAATAATTCTGTATATGTTTCTGTTGTTTTACTTGGGGCTTACGCTGAACTTAAATGCAAGTCAACAAAAGCATTAGGAATATATACATGCTGCTTCTCTGGAGTTATACCCATTAAAAGAGCTGAGCGAGTAGTTACCACCATTAAGACAGTCTGAAGCTGCCTACAAATACAACATTGTAGGAGATTTCAAGGAAATTGTTAAACTGCATTTTTCTTTTATCTATGACTGTGCCTTTAAAGATGTGTTTAACTGTCAAATTAAAAAAGAATTCACATACAATACAAAAATGCAGAAAAACCAAAACCCTACAACACACAGCTCTAACAAAGTATATGTGGTTAAAGAGTCCATAAAATGTTTAAAGATGCACTTTCTTTCCTTCTGTTTTCAGTACCTAAAATTTGCATTTGAGAGGCCATTGGTTAATATGTATACACTTAAACCACATTATTGGACTAAATGAGAATTCTTATAGTAAGTTCAAATTAAATTGAATTTCACAAGTTAGTAACTTAAATATTTTGTCAAAGTTACTTTGCTTCCAGAGGCATTTCCTCTGTTTTACTATCTTCATCTTCATTAAAAGCTGCTGTTACTGAAAGAGTTTTTGGAGCAAGACAAGTTGCTGTCCTTTTGTTCTTCCGTGTAGTTGTGGAGGACGTTGCTTCACTAGCCCATGTTGGTATTATCATTGCGCTCTTCCCTGATGAGGCAGATTGGTTGCCGGCCTCTGGACGGCCGCTCACAGTGGGTGCTGGTCGCTCATGCTGGCTGCTGGCCACACACGGTAGCTTATGGCAGCCCACTGCAGCAGGGGCTGCAGCCTACACTGTCGCCTGCAACTCATGGCAGCCCAGCTCCAGGTCAAGCTGCTGCTCACCCTCTTAGCTGTAGAGGACAGTGTCACTGGCCCTCATGTGGGATCCGACCCAGGGCCCTGCTGCTCAGAACTGGCGTCCCAAGCCAGCTGTTAACCAACACGCCACTCGACTGGCCCTAGAATAGTTTCTTTAGGTTTACTTGATCCAAGTTTGATGGATATGGCTGAGGCTTTCTTTGTCGTCTGACTACCTATGGCAAATCCAAACTTGGAGATCTTTGTAGGCCTTGTTGGGAAGTCTGCATGCAGCTTTTGATGTTCATGGTACCTTTTAGATTAGCTGATGATGCAAGTGTACTTTAATTGCTTTCTTTTAGATGAAGTAACCATAAAGTCATTTTCCAGGAAGAGACCATACTATGGTTCTTTCATCTATGTATATATTATATCTATATATTTATTTATCTACATGTTTAGTTATAACTGACAGTCTCAATACCCACTTCTCTCACCCTCTAACCAGAAAACCCTATGTTTTCTTCCTTTTCTCAACCTCCCCTTTCTCTCCTCTCAAATAAAAAGAGCAAGACAAAATTTTGCTCTTAAAATTTTAGGAGAGTAGATTTAGAATTTTCTTTTAGAAAAAAGAGAAAACTAGAAAGTGAAGGTGGTAACTACAACCTTATAATTTTGTTTTCATTTTTTAAAAGATGGGGGTAAAGGCATTAATAATATAAACTGTCTTATCCTGTTCGTGTTTGATAACTATAATAACAGTTTAAACTAGGGTCTGGAATTTACATTTTGAAGAATTCAGACTTTCCATTTAGAACACCCAAACAAGACTTTATGTGGATGGCTTTACTAACTTGGTAGAAATCTCCTAATTATTGAACAAAGTAGGACAGCAAATTTGTAGAAAAAAGAAGGAAGAAAAGTTCATTCCTAAGCAAACCTTTCTTAACAATTGAGAACATGATTTCTAAGATTTAAACTAATTAAAACTTAATAATAAGGTTTTTCTATATCAAAAGGACAGGATTTGTATAGATCTTTTATGGTTACCATTCACTTATTGATTCTACTGATTAAATACAATGTGAACATTTATATATATATATATACATATATATATATGTGTGTGTATATATATATATATATGAATTATTTATGATCAGTAACACAGTCAAACAGAAGAATTAAGAAAAAAAGGAAGAGTCAAAAGTGGAAATGAGATTTCTCTCCTGTGAGTAGGTGGCAGATTACTCAGAAATAGACAAACTTGTGTTGTGAGTATAGGGCAAGAAGAAGGTATAAACATAGTGATATTATGAGTTTGGTTTTGGTTATGCTACATTTTAAAGAAGCTGTGGGGGAAAAAATATGGCCAATAGACACTTAAAAATGTAGTCTAGAGTCTAGGAGAGAAGAATTCCAGTTATGAGGGTTAGATTTGTAAATTATCACAAATGATAATCATAAGTGACAAGTGAATTAGCAAAATAGGTAAATTTTCTAAAAAGAGAACAAAGAACAGGGAGAAAACGAACCCAAAGGAACATCAACAGAGAAGTTCCTGGAGAACCACAAAAGTATACTTTTTGCTGAAGCCCAGAGAGAAGAAGGAGTTCTTGGTACTTAGACTGCCAATAGCTGAAATATCTTTGCTTTAATTTTGCATGTCTTTGTTTTAAAATTTCTTAGCGATTTTATGATTAAAAGCCCTCTTCATTTCATGAAAATTTATCAAGAATTCTAGATAGCCCAATAGCATTTCTTCAAATAATGAATAACACCTTGACAAAATAAGACGTCGCATGGCTTAGAGATATTAGTCAGCTCATGGCTACTAGTGAAGGAGACCTCCTGGAAATTGGGGTATAGTTATAAAGAATTAGTGGGAACATTATCCTTCAGTTGGTGTTTCCAGTATTAGGCTGAAATACTCCCATATTGTAAAGGTGACCTCCTAAATAGCTTTCAACTTATGGAATTTAAATATTTGTGTAGTACATATTTTAAAAGTTTCTCATCATTATGGTTATTGAAAAAGAGTTTGCTTTGCAATAAACATCACAATTATGAGAACGTTTGTTTTCTTCAGTTACATCCAGCTAAGAGTTTTGAACTTGGTCAGTGAAACCTAAGAAAGAGTTGTTTTGTGTGCCTGTTAATTGACACAGGGACCAGATCATTGTCTTTTCGTGTCTGTGTAATAACTTAATTCTTCTTAAATTTTTAGAACCTAACCCACCAATTGATCAAGTTATACAGAAACCAGGAGTTGTACAGAGATTTGTGAAATTTCTTGAAAGAAATGAAAATTGTACTTTACAAGTGAGTTCTATAGTTTTCTTTCTTAATCTCTTTCCAGAAATGACATGATGAAAGTTTCTTGTGAAAGCAATGTAAGTGTTCACTGAATACTTGGCAATTAAAGGAAAGGTAGTGCCACTTGTCTTGCCCTGGTCATGGTTGCAATGCTGATTTTTTCTAGAAACTTACTTTATTAAACAATTTTAGGATAAGCTTATAAAATCATTCCTGATGTTAATAAAAACATTTGTTGTTGTCAGTCTTTTTTGTTTTAGAAAACCTCAAGCTAACATGTTAATTTATGGTTAAATTTATTTTGGCTCTTAGCTAACTTGGATTGTAACTTCTTGGATAAACTCTTTTACCTCTTAAAATATTTTATCTGATTATTCTTTTTTTTTTTGAAAAAAGAAAAAATCAGAATAATCTAAAAATGTGACCAAAATTAGGTTTTCCCTAAAAAAACATTACTTCTTATTATACTGCAGTGACAGTTTTAAGAAGTCTTCTAAATAATTGGCGACTAATAGTAAATTACTGAAGTTAGGAAATATGTTACGGTTAAAAAAAAAGATTGCTTTTACTGACCTTCATCGCTATACATATTCTTAAGTAAGAGAGCAGGATGGAGTTACAGCTATCAGGATTTGCACAAGACCTACACTTAATGTTACTGTCACTAATGGAGGACTGTTACTGGTATTTTAGTAATAGTTATTGAAATTACAACTTAGAATAGTGTTCCACTCATCTGAATAATTTGGGAAAGGTCCTCTCACTTTAATAATAAGCAGTGGAATGTGTTCCACATGTGAATGTTACCCATGATGAGGTTTTTTTGCCAAAAAATTGTTGAGAATGTTTGCAATAAGAGTATCTGAGGAAAAGACCACTTCGTTCATGTTATAGTCTTACTGTCAATTAGTTGTCAAAGTCTTTAGGTATTAGTGCCGTAAGGACTGGAGATCATGACTTTGAGTCCATTTGCTTTATATATAAGCCCTGAATCCAGACTAGAATCCAAGCCTCCTGATGTCTAGTTTATTATTTAGATCTTTAATTACGAATGAATGAAGGAGAAAAATGAGTGAATATGAATAAATAAAATTGAATTTTAGTTTGAGCTGTACATTGTGTAAGACATAGTTACAAAGTTGAGTAAGATATTGTCCTCCTCTGCAGAAATTCTTCACTCTTTGTTGGGGAAGACAAACACATAAACAGGTCTGTGACACCATAATATGCTTAGTGCTTATAACAGAACTATAAGCGATGTGCTTTGATATCACAGGCATCATAGCAACTTACCTGTTTAGGGAAGTCCAGGAAGACTTCACAAACGTCATGTTACATGGCTAGTCTTAAGAATAATGAGAGTTGGGCAGGCTGAAAAGAGGAAAATTAATTTCAGGTTGTGAGAAGAAGAAGAACATTAGGAACTTGAGCATTTACTGATCACTATAATTAAAACCTAATGAAATTCAACAGTATGGTCTGGTCTTGGTACAGCTATGTGCTGTGCCATGTTAACCCAGGTTTGTATGAAATTTGCTAGTTCAGAACCTTGGTCTGTTTAACTAATAGAGAGACCTCAAAATAAGGGCCTACAGACCAGTTTGGCCCACAAACAAGTTTCGTTTGGCCTACATGTATTTTAAAAGATGTGAGTTACAACAACTGGACTTTAAAAAATTGGTACAACAACTGGACTTTAAAAAATTGGGGAATTTCAAATGAAAATCTAAATGTTTGCTTTCTTTTCACAAATCAGAAGAGTTGGCATTGTTGCCACATAGTAAAGATCTAGTGGAATTGAATAGGATCTCTGCTGCTTTTTTTTTTTTTTAGGAAGTTATTTTTTTCCTTCCTTTTAAAAAATTATAGCTATGCCTTCCAGTTTGCCACAGTTCCCCACTTGCTCATATAACTCTTTTTATGTTAATTATCTGTTCTGTAGACTATATACTTGTGAATTTACCACTCTTCACTAATGCTTTCTCCCAGAGATACTTAGGAGATTTTAATGGAGTAATCTTTTAATTGTCCTTTTGTTTATTTCATTTTCTTTTCTTTTTTTTTTTTTAAAGATTTTTATTGGGGAATTGGGGGGATGGAAACAGCACTGGGGAATTGGGGGAAGTGTCACTGGCCCTCATATGTGGGATCCGAACCAGGGCCCTCTGGCGTCCCAAGCCAGTTTCTTAACCATCGCGCCACTTGGCCGGCCCCTATTTCATTTTCTATAATTGGTTAGGACTACAGTCTCCATTTGTAAAAATATAAATTCCTCCCTTAAATTTTTTCTTAGTCTCATACATAATAGTAACTGTACTTTTCATGCCTTTCAGGAATGCTTTTTGGATGCATTTTTGTGTTATTAATCATAATGATATCTACCGTAATGTGAAAAGTTGTCTCTGCCAAATATTTTTAAAGCTGTAGTCACTATTTAGTTTACCTATGGATTTGTAGATCATGTAGTTTACTGTTTGGGAGACACGGGTTGAATTTTCTCAGTTGCTTCTGTTATAAATTTATCATATGTAAGTATATCCAAATTCTAATTGAATTGATATGAATAACTTCTTAGAGTCTGATGCTTAAAAGAATACCACAGGTCCTGCTTGTGGCTCTGCTGACAGTGAACTCTTTGACCTTGAACAAATGACCTAAATCTCTAGACTTCTAATTTTCTTATTTCTAAATGAGGAGATTGAGACTAGATGATCCCTAAGGAAACAAAAGTACCTTTCATGATTCTAAGATCCATAAAAATACTATTGCTCCATTAAGTAGTGTTCATATTTATTTTTAAACTATTTGCTTTAGAAAACCTGGCTCTCTAATAGTAAACATTAGGAGTTTTATGAATTATAAATTCAGATGTGTTCATTTATTGTTCATGATTTTGTAAATTTTCATTGTATTTTTCTCAGTTCTTATTTTTCCAGATTGAAGTGTTCTTTTTTAAGATTGCAGGTTTTTATCTATGAAGTCTGATTTCACATTGAATCTTATTAATTATAAGCCAGTCTTTATCTCGGACTTGTCCAGCTAAGTCTTTACACCGTTTCTTCTTCTTCCTTTTTCTGAAATTTCTTTGGTGTTATTCTACTTTATTTTTCCTTAGTTTGAAGCTGCATGGGCATTGACTAATATAGCATCTGGAACTTTTCTGCATACCAAGGTTGTGATTGAAACTGGGGCTGTTCCAATTTTTATCAAACTTCTTAATTCAGAACATGAAGATGTTCAAGAACAGGTAAGTTTCTAATTTGAACCATTATATTTAATAGATTTAAATTTTCTCATGAAAGTACCATTTGTGATTATGATTTGAAATTCATTTTTACCAAATTGCCTTTGTATTGCATTTGTTAAAATACAGTAATTTCTATTTGGTGTCAGATTAGAAGGGAGGATGAACTCACTGTCTCAGGCATCATCCTGGGTTATATATAAGTGTCATTTCAGCTGTCAGGAAGTACTATTCCTATTTATAAAAGAGCGTACTGAGACCCAGAAAAGTTAGTAATTTACCCGAAGTTACAGTGAATGGCTGAACCATATTTTAAACCTGGGTCAGTCTGACTCGTTATTCTTAGCATGTACATGGATTATTTTGTGTTTTAAAAAAATATTACTTGATTTCAAATAGAACCCTTGTAAAAGGGTTCTATGAATAAATTCTCATCATTTTTATAAGAAGGAAAATTTAAATACATGCAATTTTTATCATCCAAAGAAAATCAAATGTTTTGGTATTTTGTTTTGAATCCTTTTTATGCAAATTGATCACACACACACACACACACACACACACACACACACACACACTCACACACTCACTCTCACACACTTCCCCTAATATTGGTAGCTTTTTTTGTGGTATTAATTATATTCCAAGAAAATTTTACTGATTACTCATTATCTATTCAAGTATGTACTATAATTTATCTACTTCTCAATTTACATTGGAGTTATTTCTAGCTTATTAGTATTATTAATAATATTGTGATATCATTATATATCAGTCTTTATGTGCCTCTTGATTATTTCATTAGGGAAAAATGACTTTGCCCTGTCAAAAGAAAAATTTTTAAAGTTCTTGTTACATATTTCAAAGTTGACCTCCAAAAACATTATAGCAATCGATATCTCCACCAACAGAGCATTAGACTTCACAGAGGAAAATGTCATTACTTTGAAAGATTTTTCTTAAAAATATAGAAAGTAAACTTAAGTCTAGAGAAGATATTAAAAATTTAACCCATGCTTTAAACATTAAAATAAGTTATTTTTTCATTTGGGAAAATTTTATGTGTACTTTTGTGCTTATATGAAAAATTTGACATGAGAGTATAATAAATGATAATTTTTATTTGCATAATTTCTCACTTAACTGAAATTTAATAAGTGAATAATTTGATTTTTTACTACTATTTATTTAAAAAATTATAATGAACCTGGACTAATTCTAAGCTTATTTTCAAGAATCAATCCAAGCCAATTCTCATATTAACTCTTCCTTACTTTTCTGTGCTTTGTTACTCTTTCCCTCCTTTTATACATCAGTCCCTTCCCAGTGAGTGATTCCTTGGCATAGGAGCAAACCTCTAAGTATAGGTAATTGGACACTAAATAGATACATTTTTGTCTCTTCTTGTAGATTTAACTCTCTTACAGAGGAAATATTCCAGTTAGATGAGAAATGCAAGTGCAAATTTTTTAAAGTGTCCTATCTTTAATTTGATTAAAAATATTATTAAATAGCACTTTTAAAGTTTTTCTTACTGTCCTACAAGCACTTTTTTTAACATCTTTAAAACTTTGTTCATTCTGTACTAAAATCTCATCTTAAGAGGGAGCATCTTATTTAAGTTATTGTAACAATATTCTTTTTTCTATTTTTTCTAAGGCTGTTTGGGCACTTGGCAATATTGCTGGTGACAATGCAGAATGCAGAGATTTTGTTTTGAATTGTGAAATCCTTCCTCCTCTTTTAGAGTAAGTACTTTAAATTTATCACAATTGAAGTAATACTACTTTTAGAAAAGAACTATACACTATTTTTTTTATATACATAATAAAGTCCTTTAGTAATATTTTAAAATTTGACTTATGCTTAATAGTCCGCATGCAATAGCTTCAGGTATACAGTGCAGTGATCAAGCCTCTACCCCATCTATGATGCCGTCTCCGTAACAAGACATGTGACCATCTGACACCCTACAAAATATTTACAACATTATTAATTATATTCCTCGAACTGCCTTTCAAGTCCCTGTGGCAATATTGTAGTTACCTATTTATGCTGTGTACTCCCTTCCCCTTCTCCCTCATCCCCACCCCCTCCCAACTAGCAGCCATCAGTTAGTTGTTCCTGTATATCTCTGAGACCATTTCTGTTTACTTTACTCGTTCATTCAGTTTTTTAGATTCCACATATAAGTGAAATCATATGGTATTTGTCTTTCTCTGACTGACTTATTTCATGTAACATAATAGTCCCTAAATCCATCCATATCGTTGCAAATGGTATGATTTCATTCTTCTTTATAGTGGAGTAATACTCCGTTGTATAAATGTACCACAGTTTCTTTTTTTTTCTTTTTTTTTTTTTTAAGATTTTTTTTTTTTTATTGGGGAATTGGGGGAATGGGAACAGTGCTGGGGAATTGGGGGAAGGGGAACAGACAAGTTGCTGTCGTTTTGTTCTTCAATCTAGTTGTGGAGGATGTTGCTTCACTGGCCCAAGTTGGCACCATCATTGCGCTCTTCTCTGGCGAGGCAGATCAGTCACCGGCTTCTGGACGGCCGCTCACTGTGGCTGCTGGCCGCTCACGCTGGCTGCTGGCCACACATGGTAGCCCATGGCAATCCACTGCCACAGGGACTGCAGCCCACGCCGTCGCCGGCGACTCAGGGCAGCCCAGCTCCAGGTTGAGCTGTTGTTCAGCATCTTAGCTGTAGAGGGCAGTGTCACTGGCCCTCATATGTGGGATCCGAACCGGGGCCCTCTGGCATCCCAAGCGAGTTCTTAACCATCGCGCCACTCGGCCGGCCCTGTACCACAGTTTCTTAATCCAGTCGTCTACCAATGGGCATTTCGGTTGTTTCCAAGTCTTGGCTATTGTAAATAGCACTGCAATAAACGTAGGGGTGCATATATTTTTTCGAATTAATTCTTGGGTTTCCCTGGATAGATACCCAAGAGTGGAATTGCTGGATCATAAGGTAGTTCCATTTCCAGTTTATTGAGATACCTCCATACTGATTTCCATAATGGCTGCACCAATCTGCAGTCCCACCAACAGTGCACCAGGGTTCCCTTTTCTCCACAGCCTCGCCAGCACTTGTTGTTTGTTGATTTATTGATGATAGCCATTCTGACTGGAGTGAAATGGTATCTCATTGTGGTTTTTTGCATTTCTCTAATGATAGTGAGGTTGAACATTTTTTCATATGCCTGTTGGACATCCGTATGTCCTCTTTAGAGAAATGCCTCTTCATATCCTCTGCCCATTTTTTAATTGGGTTGTTTGTTTTTTTGGTCTTGAGTTGAATGAATGTTTTATAAAATTTGGATATTAACCCCTTGTCAGATATATCATTGGCAAATATCTTCTCCCATTCAGTAGGCTGCCTTTTTGTTTTATTGGTGATTTCCTTTGCTGTGAAAAAACTTTTAAATTTGATGTTATCCCATATGTTTATTTTTTCCCTTTATTTCCCTTGCCCAAGGGGATATCTCAGTAAAAATATTACTGAGGGTGATGTCTGCAAATTTACTCCCTATGTTTTCTTCTAGGAGTTTATGGTTTCAGGTCTTACATTTAAGTCTTTAATCCATTTTGAATTTGTTCTCATATATGGTATAAGTAGATGGTCCATTTTCATTTTTTTACACGTGTCAGTCCAATTTTCCCAGCACCATTTATTAAATAGACTATCTTTACTCCAGTATAAATTCTTGCTTCCATTGTCATAGATTAAATGACCGTATATGGATGGGTTTATTTCTAGGCTCTCTATTCTGTTTCATTGGTCTTTGTGTCTGTTTTTATGCCAGTACCATACTGTTTTGATTACTGTAGCCTTGTGGTATGATTTAATGTTGAGTAGCGTGATACCTCTCACTTTGTTCTTATTTCTCAAGATTGCTGAGGCTATTTGGGGTCTTTTATGGCTCCATATAAATTTTAGGATTATATGTTCTATTTCTGAGAAAATGTCCTTGGTAGTTTGATAGGAATTGCATTGAATCTAGGTAGTATTGACATTTTAACTACATTAATTCTCCTATCCATGAACATGGCATGTATTTCCATTTATTTGTATCTTCTTTGATTTCTTTCTTCAATGTCTTATAACTTTCTGAGTACAGGTCTTTTACTTCTTTGGTTAAATTTATTCCTAGGT